ATATATAAATATTAATTAATTTAAATTAGAAATATAATATAATGTATTTTTGAATAATCTTTTTATCAAATGAAATAAAAAAGAAAATGATTGAGTTAAAAAGAGAGAGAGAGAGAGAGAGAGAATGATGTTATACGTTAAAAGATCATCTCATCCCATTCCTGGACCAGAAACAACGAAGCTCCCAAGACGCTCTCGATGCGATGAGTGAAAGTGAAAAGTAAATGCCAACGTGGGTCGTTTAACTCCTGACCCGCAAAACTCTGCCCGACCCATCTCTCAATCTCATCTTTTTTTTTTCTTTTTTTTTTTCTTCTTCTTCTTATTCATCTCAACTCGTCATTACTCTTCTTTTTCTATCTTTATAATCGATCATTACGTATAAATATTATATCATATCAATCGATAATATTTCTTCATATTATTTTGTTAATGAATTTATCTTATCTCGTTATTCATTCATTCATTCATTCATTCATTCATTTATTCATTCATGTGTGTTTATTAATCATTTGAGAAATATAATTAGAAAATTAATTATAATAAATATTTCGATATAGAAATGAACATATTGGTTAAATAATAAAATTGTTTAATAGATGTTTTATTTGATGTGTTTTTAATATCTTTTAATAAGATAATAAAAATAATGAGATATCTTTTGATAAGGATACTATACTTTTGAAAATATATCTAGAAAAGATGAAATATTTTATCGTATTTATTTACAATGATTATTAATTAATAAATTAATTGTGTGTGGAATATAATTAAAATGAAATTAATAAACGTTGAACATATTGATAATAATATGTGATTGAATAATAGATGTTTTATTTTATTTTTTTATTTCTTTTTTATGTGTCAGTATCTTTTAATAAAATAATAAGAATAATGATCTTCGATAAGCAAAAAACCTATACTATGAAAATATATATATATAGAAAATAAAAAAGGAAACACATAAAAAATTTCTTTACGATATAAACTATATAACACACAATTATGATACAATAATATTAATATAATAATATTAATCGTTAAACGAATCTCTGTCGATTATCAAATTGCAAAAGAATTTTATAATAAGAAATAAAAAAGAAAAAAAGTGATCTATGATATTTTTTAATAATAGATATTAAATTATTAGATCGATATTATTAGATAGATAAGAGATAATTAAATAGATATTAAATTATTTTTTAATAAAGATATTAAATACAAAAACAAAAATTGTAATAATCTTAACTTACCACACTTTTCATCTTATTACGAATGATCGAAGTATCAAAAATAATAATAATAACACTTTTAATTAGATAAGAAAATGAAGAATTTGCTTTCTCACTAAAAGAATCTTAAATGAACGAAGATACTTTCAGGTGGAAACACAATCGAGTGCTAATCCAAGGAGAGTAAAGAAATCCCCTTTTATACCAACTCTCACTTTACCCCTACTTAAAGAATCTTCGGCCATAAAGGATTCTCTCTTCATGTGGCTTTATGGTTAAAGTATTGGTATTTAACGTAGGTATACGTTTGATTTCTATTTGTATTAGTGTGTATGTGGGAGAGTCGTTTCCTGCGAGATCGAACCTAGTTACTTGAAAAAGAAGAAGAAGAAGAAGCTAGACACTGGAAGATACTACCATAGATGACCTTAGACATAGTTACGATACTGATTTTTTAACGTATTAATTTATTCTATTTGAAATCATTCGAAATTATATATATATATATTATAATTATTATATATTATAATAATTCGAATATA